CTTTTTTAATAAAAAATTCCAAACGCGCCTAAGCGCGTCACGGTACGACGCGTTTAGACGCGTCGCGGAGACTTCTTTCGGTAAAGCGCGTTAAGACGCGTTTTTTTTAATAAAACGTGCTAGACGCATCTAATGAGTTTTTAAATAAATTTTGTACATTCGTTGATAATTGTCTTTCAAAATTATCGTCAAAACATTCCCACACAAAATTTGATGTAATATTCGAACCGTCATCCTTTGGTTTTTCATCCAGATGAATCGTTTTTATTGGTGAATAATGGAATAACTTTTCACATGCACGTAAAAATTCTGTTCGATCTTTTTCATCCTTGAAAAATGTGTGATCTTTTGTTGCCTTACCTAATCGATGACGTAAATCCAATATGGCATCACACGAAACGTAATCCATGCCTGAACGTAAAACATAAGCAATATTATCTCATAAGAGTGTCTGAACATTGGAAATCGCTGCATATTGTTCTCCTGGACATTGGCGGTTTTTAACTTCTGGTGAATATATTAGTTTATCAAACACATCATTATAAGCAAACATCCAATACAACGTAGCATCGAGATAACCTGAATTTGATTCACCTTGTATACCAATATATTCTCCAATAAGTGGTTTTTTTAATGGCGGTAGTTTGTTACGTTCACACTTCAGTTCTTCAAATGATGTGTTACATTTTTGTGCCGAGACCAATTTTTCATATAATGATTGATTTGTACAAAAATATCCACGCGCAGAAGAAAGTGGAAAATGTTCACGAAAATTTATTATTGGTTTCGATGCGCAGGAAGCCTAAGAGGATCTTTATGCTCTTCAAGGTAGAAGGATTAATGTATTTTCTAGAAACACCCAAAAACCGAGGGGTTCTTTGAGTAGTTCCGGTATTACAAATGAATGCCTGTCTACCACGCACTAATATTTACCTGATGTATTTGTAAATGGTGTGAATCACATAAAATTTGACAAAATTCGCATGGAATTTGTCCTAAAGAAGCTTGTTGTTCTCGTTGTTGTAGTGTACCTCTGAAACCAAATAGAATTTGATAATTTTAAAAAGTATTTTTCTAGAGTCTGATCACCTGTCTTTGTTTGTCAGTCGTTCTTTTTCTACTTTCTAAAACCGAATTTAAAATAAATACTAGAACTATATTCTTATTTCGAGATTAAACTTATTTCTTAGCAGATGTGAGTCGAATTCATATATTGAGAACAGTTTTCCACAGAATTCGCATGGTATTTCAATACTTGAGTTTTGCTAATAAAAAATGTAGAAAGGATGGTAAAGTCTAAGATCAGGATTCTTCCCCTTGATATCTTTCATGTCTGTTGAGTTAGGAAGGTGTTTTACGATGCGTTGAGCAATCTGGCGCAGTCAAATATGAAAATTACTGATCGAAAATTTTCACATTAGCCACATGTTAATTTTCGAATATGAACCGTTATTTGTCATGTTCAAAGATTGAGGTCGGCTGAATTAGAGAAAAGGATTGAAGTCGAAAGTTTCACAAATTCTGAAAGCTAGTGTATTGTTCTATAAAATGGAAATTAATTGAAAGTTTTAGGATCATACAGATACATAATAGCAGGCTCTCATCTGACCAGTTATAACTATATATATATATATATATATATATAAAAAGTCCTTATTTTCTAAACAACAAAAAATGACATTATCGCAAATTATTTTATGGAGTTAGTCGATACATTCTTCTATAAAATACAGAAAAAATTACTTGAGTCTTACTTAAATTACTTTGAGTTAAAAGAAGTCATTTTCAATGAAAAGCTCATAACAGTTCAAAGAGAGTACACAGCAACTTTGACTTTCTACTATTCACTCCACCCTCTAAAATCTTCGTGTTATCTTTTGTTACACTGTTGAATATAATTTTTCGATAATGTGTGATGTGTTTGTTCGAGAAAAATGTTCCTCTCAGACTGACTAAGTTCGCTCC